ACAGCAGACCCCAATCTTATCCAAAGGAATATTGACACTGATTGCTGCTAGATGAGGAACAGCTGACCCTCCTAAAACAAAGACCTCCAGATAGGCTGACTAGATTCACGACATGGACAAGTAGTGGGGAACGGCTGGGGTGCCATCAACACAGCAGACATTAGCAGGGATATCAGAGTATAAGGGCTCTAGTGGGGGGAGGGAGGCTATGGGAGGGTGCCATCTGGGAAGTGGGTGTATAGTTGAATAAGATGGTTTGGGATGTTATGTGTGATACACACTCACAATCAACAAAATTTTAAAAATGTATTATATTTGAGGAGGAAGCATGGAAATTTACATCATGTTAATTAGTAGAGGTGATAAACATTACCATTGAAACCTGTCTGATGACTTTATAGACATACATGGGTGGTAATGATCCAAGTGCAACCGATTATGACTAGTAATAGATACATACAGATTAGAGAAAAGAAGTAGGTATACAAAGAGTTATGAGTATGAAAGAGCTAGCTGTGCCTGTTTATTATCCTTATACCCTTCCCAGTCACTCAACCCTCTGAAATGTAAGAAGTGGAGATCTTTTTTAAAGGTTAAAAACTTATTCAGTTTTATGTCTTACAGGGCTTATACTGAGTTCAATATTGTATATCTGTATTAATTCAGCTGTGAACCTAGAATCTTAAAGCCACTTATGAAAGAGATGTACTCTTGCTCTGGAGTGTGTTACTGAATATGTTGAAACTGTAATGAAATGCTTCTTCTAATCATGTAGTTATTATAAATTAAAAGAAATGATGATTAAAAAATTCTAATAATATTGTCCTATAACTTAAAAACATTGCATCTGTAATGAACATGCGGAGAGTCTTTTTCTTGTTGTTATCCCTAAATAGCACAGCATGCTATCTGTTTATACAGTATTTACATTGAACTAGCCATTATATGTTATGCAGAGATAATTTAAAGTACATAGATGCACATAGGTGATATGTAACTTCTATACCATTGTATAGAAGGGACTGGAATACCTTGATGACTTTCGTACCTACAGGATATCAAATGATGACTCTTTACCCTTATACTGTGGTGCTAATGGTTTCCACATTATTTGTTGGACTAATGTTTTCAGGTGACTTTTTCATGATAAAGTCACAATCTAAAGGATACACAAATGCTTAATAAACAACTCTAAAAAATTAGAACACATTCGAAGTACCAAACAGAAAAAAAATTAATATAGACTACTTGAATATATTTTCAGTCAGTAATATAGTTTTGGAGTAAGATGTCAGACTAGGGGTCACAACCCATGTCTTTCTACAAAAGTCACAATTTGACAACTGCTCACTGATAACTGCTGCTGTGGGAAAGCTCCAGAATATGAGAAAAAAGCTGCCACTACCCAGGAGAACTCAAGAGCTACGATGGATACACGGAGAGGAGTAGGGAGCATTGACCATGTGTCGACCTTTCCAGTGACTGGCATTTCTCAGTGCTGGGAGGGTGATGCTCAGCTTCCATCTTCCCCATTAAGGGAAAGTGGAGTGGGAGGTCTCCAGTGGCCTTCACTGCTAATTTCAACACCACCAGAGATACCTGCAGCCCTTCCCACCAAGGAACCCTGCAGTCTTTACCAACCCTGACCCAAGCGATGGAACTGCTCAGAGTCCTGAGGTTCCTCTTGCCCAGTCCAGAACCATCTGGAGCTAGAGCCACTGCTGTCCTCCCCAGAGCCATAGCTGTGAAATCCCATCTGCCCTGTGCCTTTGTATTAGGTATTTTTTTGTTTCTATGATAAAATACCATGACCAAGGCAACCTATAGAAGAAAGTTTATTTGGCGTATGTGGTGCCAGAGGGATAGAAGTCCATTATAGCGGGGCGGCACGGCGGCAGAGGCAGTGGGACTAGAAAGCTGAGTGCTCACATCTTCAAACACCTGCAGGAAGTCGAGAAACCAAACTCAAAATGGGGCAAGACCAATGGAGTCTCAAAGTACACCCTCAGAGATGCACTTTCTCCAGCACGGCCATACTGCTAAGGTTCCATGATTCTCCCAAAACAGTTGGGGCAGAGTGTTTAAATATTTGGAACCTATGGGGGATATTCTCATCCAAACTTACACAACCTTCATACCTAAACATATGTTAAAGCTGTTTTTGTTTTGACACAGTGTCACATGTAACCCAGGCTGGCCTTGAACTCATTATGTAGTTGAGGATGACCTTGAATTTATGATCGTTCTGCCTCCACCTCTAAAGGCTGGGTTTGTAGGTACTTGCTACTGTGCCTGGTTTGACTTTTCAGTTTTTAAATTTATGTTTTGGGAATTATTTGAAACCCCAGTTTGTAGCATCTGCTCTTTCAAGTGTGCAGACATCACACACAAAATTATATGGAACATGAAAAATCAAAGAAACACAAAACCAAAGGAACAAAGTAAATTTCCAGTAACCAAGCCAAAAGAATGCAAAGCATAGGGCACTGGCATCAAAACAGGCACATGGACCAATGGAACACAGCACAGCGCCCTGACTTCAGTTTACTCATATACAATCAACTGAACTTTGACTAGAGTGCCAAGAATATGCAGTGAGGAGAGGATGGTTTCTTCAATAAGAAAGGAAAAAATTGTGAACCACATGTAAGGAATTCACATCCAAAATATGTAAGGAAATTATGCAACTGAGCACTGAAATCACCCCCAAACAGCTTGTTTTAAATGTGACCAAAGGAGCTGATAGATATTTCTCAAAAGAAGACATACAAATAGCCAAGATGCATGATAACCTCTGTTCAGCATCATCAACCTTCAGAGAAATGTAAGTCAAAACCATGAAGAGGCATTGCCCCACACCTGTTAGTCCCCACGCCCAGAAAAAAAGGGGGCAGAGGAAAACAGCTCTGTATGCCATTGATTGGAATGTAAATTTATACAGCTACTATGGGAAATAATATGGATGTTCCTTCAATAACAAAACCCAGAACTACTTTATGATTCAACAATCTCACTCCTGGGTGTATGTTTTAGTCCATTTTCTGTCACTATAATAACCTAAGGCTGGGTAATTTATGAAGAGAAAGGTTTATTATGACTCAACACTTGGAAGTTCAAGATTTGGGCACTGACATTTTCTTTGCTTCTGGTGAAGGTCTTATGGCAGGAACGTGGAAGACAAGCAGCTGTGCTTGGGAAATCATGTGTACTGGTGCTGGTCGTGGGGCACAAAATTTCAGTTATGCTAAACAAGTCCATTCTGGAGGTGGAATGCACAGCCATGTGACAGCAGCTAACGATCCTGTATTTGCTAGATATTTGCTGAGTTTGTAGAGCTTATCTGTCTTTGTCACACACAAAAATAAATGAAAAAGAGTAACAATCTGAGACATGTTAAGACAAAAATATTTTCACTTTTCAACATTGTCTGGTAGAGATCTCTTTAATGTTGGTGCTGGTAGACAAGTCTCACGTGCACCTTCTAAGTTATGATATCTCATGTGGTGGACAAATCTTAAGAGTCCCTAGGAGTCTTAACCCTGGCTTTGGGGACTTAGTGGACTTACTTTGAGTTCGTGGAAGTCCAGTATGCTGTGCATTGCATGACAGAGCCAGGTGTTTCTAGCCAACAGCAAAGGTAATGGAGAAAGGGCTTCAAGCTCAGGATTGTGTCAAGATTCCGTCTTGCACATACCGCCCTCTGCTGGTCTAAAGAAGTAAGTCGGCAACCATATTTGGCACGGACTCAGGGCAGCCTCTGAGGCCTGAGGGTAGTTCCAACCAATATCCAGTGGGAAGCAGATGTGCTCAGTTCTACAACCACAAGGAAATGTATTCGCTCACTGGAAACACAGAGTAGTTTAAATAGTTATCAGTTATACCTAGAGTCCATAAAGGATTTCAGTAGATATTTGGGTGGAAGGTGTATGTGTATCATATGTATGTATCTGTCTATATATCTATGTATCTATCAATGTATATATTGATAATCTATGTATGTGCCTGCATATCTATCAGTGTATCTATCAATCTGTCATCTATCTATGTATGTATGCATTTATCTATCAATCATCTACCTATCATCTATCTATCATTTATCTATCATCTATTATCTACCTATCTATCTATCTATCTATCTATCTATCTATCTATCTACTATCTACCTGTCTACCTGTCTATCATCTATCATCTCTATCTATCTATCTATCTATCTATCTATCTATCATCTATCTATCTATCT